TTGGAAGACTGAGGCGGAAGGGTCCCCGGAGCCCAGCAGGTCGAGGCTGCGGTGGCTGGGAGTGATCACTGCACTCCAGTCTGGGTGACAAAGTGAGACTCCAACTCAAAAAAAAAATTATAGAATGGTGTAGGTGAGTGAAGGAATCAATGAAATAAGATAGACCATGACTTGCTAATATTTGGAGCTGGGTGATAACATACTATTGTGTCTATTAAAAATCCATATGTTTAATTATTTAAAATGTAATGTGAAAGTTTGGAATATTTGAAATCATAGATTGAAATTTTAGGAAAATAAGTTTGAAGTAAAGATATAGTGTTACAAACTTGCCTAGTGTGGTAGTCATTGAGATATGATTAGATGAAGTTACAAACAGATGGAAGTGTTGCGATTAAAGACATTACATTATAGAAATAACATATGTGAAGTGACTCTCAAAGTTGTGTTTGCATTTATTTTTTTGTGGTTTTAGGATGAGAGAGGCTGCAAGGAAAATAGAAGAAAGACATTTTTCCAATCATGCAACACATGTTGAATTTCTGCCTGTTGAGTGGCGGTCAAAACTTACTCTTGATGGAGGTATATTTTCTTTAAAACTTGAATTATTTAGTCAATGGCAAATTTTTACCAAAGTAAAAGTGTAGAAGATTTTAGAAAAAACTTTTTGCTCATTGGGAATAAAGTGTTTTCAATTTAGTTGTCTTAAGGTATACTCACTCTTTGTTCTGTATTATTTAAGAAAATGATTTGTAAAAATAATTCTGTTGACTTATGTCATTTGGACTACCATGTAGATGTCTTAGATAGCACTGATTTCATGCATGTCTTCTGGATTGCGAGTGGGTGAGGGGTGAGACATGTGGAGGGAACAAAACGTCTTCTAAAATTTTTGTCACTAAAGTGATTTGTCAGTACTTTGAAAGTATTTGTTGTCCACAATTACATAGGAGCTTACATCATCTTTCTAAAAATTTTCCTCCCCTATACTTGGAAGATAAAAATCTCTTTTTTTGTTGTTTTCTTTTGATGTGATCCCTGCATTTCCTGGCCTGGTGAATTATAATCTAGCATAGAGACACAGTACATTTGCTTAAATAAAATCATATTCATTTTCTTCCTTAAAGAGTTGTTATTAGCCAAAATATGTGTCTTTACACAAAGGTGTGTCCTTTAAATATTAAAAATCATTAAAATAGAATGTTTAGGTTAATTATTTACATAATCTGGAAAATGAAACAGTTCTACTAGACATAATAGAAGCTGCCCTTTGCAGAGCCTTTACTGTGTGCCTGACACCCTGCTCTGCATTTTACTTGGAGTGTATCTCATTTAATTTTCTCACAAACCTATGAAATGCCTACTTTGTTTTCTCCATTTTACTGACAAGGAAACTGAAACTCAGTAAAAGGTGAATGTAACCAGAAATGGCATGCAGAATGTAGGTCAGTATCATGCCAGAGCCCCTGTTCATCGCAGTGCTGACTGCCTCCCTAAATGGTTTCTTTTTCTTTTTCTTTTCTTTTTTTTTTTTTTGAGTTGGAGCCTCACTCTGTCGCCCAGACTGGAGTGCAG